TTTCCGCATTATCGGTTATGGTTTCAACTGTTTAAAAGTATTGACTTCGATGTCAATGGCAAAGAACGGCCTGGAGGACCAAAGATGCTCAAAGACAATGAATTGCAAGACTTATTGGACGAAAACGCACTTTAAACTCTCAAACAACATTCGAACAGCTTAGCTGTTGAAGAATCAACAATTTCTAAATGTTTACATGCTAGGAGAAAGATTCAAAAGCAGGAAAATGCGATTTGACTAAAAATGCCATTTCGAACCTTACTAGGCAAAGAAAAAACAGTTTTCTTTGACTTGTTATCATTGTCGATGAAAAATGAATCTACTACGGCGATCACATGGGCAGAAAGTTGTGAATTAGCCCAAGAGAACTATCCATATCAAATCCGAAGCGAATATTCATGGGCATAAAGATTTGCTCCGCATACGGCAGGGTATAGTGCATTACGCGCTGCTAAAATCCAATGAAACTTCTACTGCATATGTTTACCGACGTCAATTGAGTAAATTGAACGCTGTATTATTAAAAAAAAAAAGAGCAATAATAGGGCTTAAAGTCATTCCCTTGCATGACAATGCTCGGCCGGAATTCACAAAAGTTGTATATGATAGACTGTTGCAGTTTGAATAGGAAAGTCCACCGCAACCAGCGAACTCACCAAACATACCGCCTACTGAAACTACTTGTTCAGATCGATTCAGCATAGCTTGGCCGGCACGCGGTTTCGAAATGATGAAGCAGTGCCAGAATGGGCCGGTAATTGGATAGCTGCTAAACCAATATCGTTCTTTCGGCGTGGCATTGCTGTATTAAATAGACGGACGCGAAAAAATTATAGAAGATGATGGAAAATATTTTGATTAATATAATTGCACTAGTTTTTTTTTACTAAATGCCTTTTTCAAGCCAATAAATGATCAAAACACACTTAAGCACTTAACAGATATCTTTTATAAATATGACGCAAACATCGATGCATATGCAAAGGATTCCCAAAAGATTTCGTATGCAGCGTTTCAGATCAACTGACGGATCATTTATTGTAAAATTCATATCTTACTATTATTACTTTCTTTTTTTGATTATCAATGAACCGAAAAGGCGTGGTTATGGCACAATATACAGAACATTTCCTATGATATACGTACATGAACGTTTCTTAAAAGTCATAGGTCGCGATGGTCTTGTCATGTATGTTTGCTATGAACCACATGAACTGTGTGATTTGATACTCTGCCAAATAAATTTCCACCAAATCTCCTGTTTAATCAATTTGGGGCGGTGCATGGCTTGGCCCGTGATATCAAACAGCAATCATTTGGGCATTGGTAAAATGGAACATAATTTTTAAGATAATACTTGTGATAAAAGAAAATTAACTCAATTTAAAAGAAATGTCAATTAATATGAATTCTTTTTTTTTTGCTGAATTTGAGTAATTAAATTTAAAATTAGAATAATAACTCATGTGAAAAGGATTATAATTGATTTGAAATTTACATTGCCTGCTGTCATAATTTGGGTTGGCTTCAGACTTTCCACCAAAAACGCTTAAAGATATAACAGTGCTAAAAACAGTAAAGTATTTGATATGCTGAACACCGTAATTGCATGAGTGGCCTCGTATATGTAGCCAGTTAAAACATTGCCATCACCATGCGAGCACATAAGCTGGCTTCATTCAAAATCATTCTGAAAAGGGAAAAATGCATCACTTACATTAAGCTATTTATTCCTACACACCTTACTTACCTTAAAGCTCGGGATTTTGCTTTAGCTACCGATCCGATATGTAAGTGTCACCACTGATGGTAATGAACAAAGGAAAAACAACCATGGATTTATAATAACTTTTGAAGTGACAGAAATTGAAACAGTTGCAATAATTCTGCTAATCAAATAACCTGCAAAAATGTTGTGATTAAGAAAAATAAGAGAAAATTTGTTAATTTTTCTGTTACTACTAAATTTAGTCAAGAGTATCGGACGTCTGTTTTGCCACTAAGGTTTCTACTTACTGGGATATAATTTTCACTGCCGTGTAACGCAACTCTGTGTTTTCATCACGCAGTGTCGAATAAAAATGACCAATGCTTGAATCAATAATACTAGGAGAGCGAAATGTGAGATCAGATAGGCCGATCACAATATTGCATTTGATTTTGACATTTTTGGTATGATTGAGAATATTCATCAAGAAAGGCATGTAAGACTCACAGACGCGTGATGAAACGCACATAAAACGTACAAGAGCCAATGTGGGTAATTGCTGTAACGTTGGGTCACGATATTTAAATGGATATTTACAAATCTCTAAAATGTAGGGGAACAGTTTCGGTAACAAAGCATTTTCGTCATGCAAAAAAATCTTTTCGCAGATGTGACTAACTAATCATTTTAGTCCAATTCGTCTGTTCATATTGTGTGTGCTTTAATGCCAACAGTTGGTAAAGCACTTTACTCCAAGCCTGTTCAAATATCTGGTAAGGCACGAATGATGCTACTACTTGACAGAATACTTTGTAGTTTACTTGTGTTAACACTTTTTTTTCTTTGTTTTTGAGACGTTCACGCTCTTTTGTTCTTGTATTTTAAAATTGTATCGAAGCGAAGAAAGAACAGAACGTGTACGAAAACATGTTACCAACTTACATATGGCCGCTGTTAAGTAAAGTAGAGGCAGGTATTGAATGTTTTCCACCTTTTTCACAAACTTCATGGGAACTGTCTTCCATCGCATTTTCCTCTAAGCCATTACAAATTCACGTGTATGGATATATTCCTCTTCTTTCTTGTTTTAATTTACTTTAATCAGTGCCTTTTTGCATCTTCCTCGTTACCCAGCCGTAAGATAACATCGTTTCGGGAGCATTCGTCACTTTGATTAATTTCCTTATTTACATTTTCCGTTAACAGTTCTTGATTTGTTGCTTCTGTTAGACCATCGAAGCTTGAAAGACTTTTAGACAAGTGCGGTTCTGCCCCGACGCTCATAATAGTCTGCGGCGGTTCTGTCTTGATGTCTACACTAATTTCGTGCGCTTGTGGCATATCGATCGGTAGTTCTTGCAAGCAATCTTCATTTTTTATAACAATTTTTGGTCTCCTCGCTTGATTCAAAAATATTTCTTGCAATTTTTCCGCCTCTAAGAGGAAAACGTAAATATCTTTTAATAAATTTGCACACTTGATGCATAACCTTTGTGGCATAAGAAGTTCTTCTTCTTCTGAAGGCTTTATAGAAAGAAATGCATTAATGCGGTGTGTTTTTTTTCCCAAAAATAAATACGTACGTTAATTCTCAATAAGTTGCTTATCAGCTCCCCTTAGGTTTTGGACGATCCAACATCCTGAGATACACGTTGATAGAAGGAAAGTGCATGTCCTGCATTTATGATTAAATTATGTAGAGTGTGCAGAAGGTAAATTTACTTTACATTTAAGTTAAATTTTCACGAAATAATATTTTAAAATATCTGATATATTTGGCTGAAAACTTTGAAATTATGTTTTTAATTACCCTTTGTACTACAAAAATCTTTAGCCAAACTGGGCCGTGCCAATAGTTCACTCAATAACTCATATACATAAGGATATTTACAACAAGAACCATCGCCATCAAAATAATCGCACATACAACACAACATATTGTAAACCGTCTTGCGTACTATACGGGAGACCAATGGATCGTCCTAATGCATAAGAACATTAGAGAAGGAGCCAAAACTGATTCGATGTTTCTATACCTTAAATATCGAGCTTGCAATCATATCGTGGATATACGAAAAGCAATTTAAATCCAATGCTCGTTTGCCCATTTGACGGCAACATAGCAACTGCTGATCATTTTCCGAAGCATTGGTATACCGTATGTTCACCAACATCGAAGTCAATAACAAAGGACCATATTCAGGATTATGACACATACGTGTTACATCTTTGTCAAAACTAAGAAATACTATAAACTTTTGAGTTCATGTTAAGAACAATTTAACTACCAATAAAGTGGGCCGTCATATTCAAGTCTGCTGCCCGGATGAGGTAAGGCGTCATTATCTAAATGCTCGCGAAGCTCTGGCATTTGCGGATGACGAGCAAAATAGCAAGTTCCACTCAATTCAAAAAATTTTGATTTATAGATGCTACCGTGAGCGAAAGCACGTTCATAGGCAGATTTATTTATAATCATGTGAGAATAAGCGTATAAAAATTTTCCGTCAACTGAAAATGATTCTCAATAATTCCAAACTTGTGAGAATAAGCGTCCACATTTGTTTACAATTACTTCCACAAACTCAACCGATGCTTCGAACAAATTGAATAAATTTATCACTGATAACGCTGAAGAAACATATGCTACTTATGCTTTGAAGAATTCATGTGCAGCACAGCAATTGCCTTGCATTAGAAGTCATTCAACGGAAACTTCTGTCAACTGCGAATCTAACTAGGACACGCTTACTATTGCAACAGTAACAAGCAATGATAAGAACTCTTTGGATCTTGTTCCAGCTATTAAAAAGCGCGCAGAACTAGTTAAAAGAATCCACGCGCGTCTATGTCTCCGCTCGTCCAGTCCTCCAAAAACAGCCCGAACACTTGATAATGAGTAAAGTGGCTTTTAGATTAATTTTAATGCGACTAAGTTTTCAGCTTTACAGGCATGAGCGACTACAAAGGGTTATTACGAACAGCCTCAATGATGAGATTTTCCCGCTACAACTTAATAATAATTATTGGTTCCTTAATAGTGGGCAGTTTCTGATTATTTCTAGTATCGTTGAAAACATGTTACTCGCCTATGCCATGTGTGCGTCATTTTGTGTATATTGTATTATAATAGTAATGCGAATAAAAAGTATAAAAAGTGTTCTTGTTACGTCTACAAAATGTATGTAATCGTTGCCACTGCATTAAAATGTTCGAAATAATTGATTAATTCACGGTAAAGTTGGCTCTTTAGGATGCAGAAGAGACTCTCAAGCAAGAACTCGAAAGAAAATTGCATTGTAACTAAAAAATTATATTATTTATTTTTGAAGTTTGTTTAGTATTTCTATTATAATAGTGTCAACATCGGCCATAGCCCCATTGCCAGTGTCACCACATATTAGAGTCTTTGCTATACTTGGTATTTCGTGGTACCCCCAAGACTTCAGTTTATTAATTTGGTCCGAAGTAATTGGATGATCATACATGCGTGTATTCATAGCAGGGCAAAATAAAAGCGGTTTTTTCAAATCCCAAGCGCGTATCACACACATAAGAAGATTATCGCATAAACCCTGAAGTGGCATTAAAGAAGATATTAAAAGAAAGCTATTTCAGGAAGGAATTGAATGACAAAGTTTACAAACCATTGATATTTTTGCCAAAGAATTCGCACTGAGCGGTGCAATCACTAATACATCGGCCCATTTTCCTAACTCAATATGCACTACTGGATCGCCGCGCTTATTCCAGGCTTTCCATTCCATCTCATCATCCAATAATTCTGCACTCTGCGGCACGCTAGCAAAATCTACGAAATGTTTCGCATGTTCCGTCAAAATCACTTTAATCTGAGATAAGCATAAAAAATATATATTAGATACGGATATGCGCTTTATGAAAAACTTACATTAAATCTGAAATCCAGGCTAGGATCTTGCAATTTTTCTATTAAAACTGGCAATTTGATGGTGGCGACACTACCACTGCAAGCTATAATTAGATTTTTTGTAGACTTCATTATGGAAACGTTATTGTTCTTGGGTCGATTTAGCAGTCTTTTCCTTTTGTTGTTCAAAGCCCAATTTCGACCAAGGTGTTGCTTCCATTAATTGATTTTCCATACGGCAGCCAAGATATTCTTTGGCTTCTTGTCGGCACTTGGAATTTTGATCCTCGTTGCGGTTTAGGCAACTCATATAAAGTAAGTAATATTTTTTGCACAAGCTTTCGTGGTCTAAAGGAAAGCTTCCTCTTTCCGGCGGTACAGGTGTGAATTTTGTTTGACTAAACGTATGGGAAGTCATAACGTATGGAAGTCATAACCTTCACTTTATTCTAATGTTTTTCTTTTTCTTTTTATGTTGAGTTAAGATGGAAATTCTCATATAAATCTATCGAAACAATGACTATGTCTTTTTTTATTTTTATTTTTTTTGTAGTTTTGAACACGAAGCAAATAGGAATTAAATCGGTTTATCAGAATAAATTATGTATGTATGTTAAATCTATAAAAAGTAAAATGTACTTTGCCATCTAATTTGAAATGTAAACAAAGACATATGTTTTCCATAAACCGCTTTTAATACGGTATAAATGTTATAAAAACGTTATTTTACGATATATTTTTGCGAAATATTACTGGATACTTGAATTAATTACCATTTGAATCATGTATGACACATTTGGCTTTCACTACCTTTTTTCGCAATTTCGACGTTAAAGTATAAGCGACAAGCTGTGACGTTCCATATAGATTGATTTATTGAAATAATTTCGACATATTTCTTTCTAATTTATGATTTCAAGGCATCAAAGCCGAATTTGAAGGAAAATTTATTCGGTTACTTTCAGATGAACAAAAGTTATTCAAAAAAAAACGTTGGGAATGAAAAAGTACTGAAAAATTTGGCCTCTTGTTAAAATAGTAGAAAGTTTAAAGATAAAATAAATGGTTGAGAAAATTGGGAACTTGTATTGGAAAGTTGGGACGATTTGGAAAAAGAGAAACAATCTTTCCTTAGTCTAAGAATTTCTAGTCTAAAGATATCAGAAGGACAATTTAATGTTTTCGAAACAGTCTTAAGGGTTCTAAAACGTAAAAATAATTGGTGTAAGCCCCCCTCTAATCCATTGTCCATATTAGCACGAATCTCAACAATGAATATTGAAAAATGCAAGCTGACTCTTTGTAGTTGGTGGAATAAACAAAATTATAACAAGAGTTTTTGAGGCGCTCAATCCTTGCGCCCATAAGCCAAAGAAAACGCGAAAAACCGACTTTTTAACCGGTGGAGGGATTTTACCAGATCCCTGCCAGCTCGATATCTCTTTCGGTTGATGTGGCATAATCAAGCTAGTTATGGCTTTTTTCTTCTAAAGCCAGTAAAACATGTCTCGATTATTGAATTATAGACAAAATAACTAGCTTGACTTGATAAGCAATATTTTGTATGCATTTCTCGCTCCTCTGAATTTAATTCTTCAAGCGATGGAAATTAGTTCGCACAATGCTCTCGGTCTAATCAAGCACTTACGTGCACTTTTTTAAATCCTGGAAGGTAGGAAGATTCTCTTTAACACTAACTTTTGTACTGAGATTATTGAGGTCTTTCCATATAATTTCAGTTTTCTTCGAGTTTGCAATAAGATGAAAATAATTAATAAAAGATTTCTAATTGATCAGTTCTGAATTTCAAAATTGCGATTACTTTAATTGGAATATCTTTCCCGCTATAAGTAGGACTTGAATTCTAAGACTTTAAACAGATGAATTAAACGATAGTTCGTTAAGCCATCAATAATTGCTAAACTATCGCTTATTACTCTCGAAGCGTCGAATTGAAAAGCCGTGCAGTGATCTTAATAGCGTTCCCGTTTTTAAAAGAGTTTTCTTGGCGTATACTCTTGCGTCGTTCATAACGTACTTTTCCTGTCGCATACTCTTATATCGTTTTTAGCATACTTCTCCCTCCAAGTGTATGTGTATTGTTGCTCCACTTGGAACTTATCTTGAGCAAGATAATGTAAGGCCTAATAATGTAGGCAGCATATTTGGGAGAACGGTTTAAAATTTTTTCAATTTAATAGAACTGCCACCAAATGCAGACTTGCTCTTGAATTCAATAGAATTTATATATACAATAAACACAACCTTAACGTAGTTTAACGACTCTGTCGTACCCTTTAACTGGTGCTACCACATCCCTCCAAGTTCTACAATCCTCCCAAGTTCTACAATCTCCCAAGCTCTACAACCTCCCGAGTTCGGCAACCTCCCGAATTCCACAACCTCCCAAGTTCTATGACCTCCCGACATCCACCACCTCCCAAGTTCTACAACCTACCGAGTTCCACAACAATAGTGGTATTTTCGGCACTCGGCTATCGTATCCAAAAAAAATTAACTGACGGTTTTTTCATCAAGTCAAAGGACTTCCTTACGAATTGACGAGTGAAAGTGCGTGAAGTTTGAAGAGGAATAATTTACTTGAAAAGTAGGAAAAGAAATTGCATTTCTGTAAAATAAAATTAAAAAAGAGACAAAAGAAGAGATGTTTACGAAACTCTTCAATTTTGCTAAAAAAAATCGAGAATAATAACGTGACATTTTGTTGCTGAATTTGTTGGAATATATTTACAACATTTTTTTGATGTCTTCAACCTAAACGTGAGTGTATTTTCGTAATTTTTACCATTTAAACAAACAATTGGAATTGAGGAAACTGAACTTTTATTTAATGTACTTTTTTTAAAATAAAATTCCACTGTTCATTTCACAAAAAGCCGAAGACTATTACGTTGAATTGGAACTGTAACCACCATTTGCACCATTGGGAATTGAGATTGCAACATCAGTTTATAAGTGAATAAATGTGACATTGGCAAACTATTTTCTCTGCAACATGCCATTGACGGGAATTATTCGATTTCTAATGGATTGTTGATGTTTCACGGGCTTATAATGATACAAACTTGACTGAAAGAGTCGAGTAAAAGAGGTGACTTTCCCAATACAAGTATATTGTAGTGTGATCGCATACCGTTATATGCATCCACTTTGAAGTGCGATAGAATTATACAAATTCAGCATAATTCTTTTGCTAAAAGAAAAATAAAAATTATGTTGCATTTTGTCACGAGTCTTCTTGGGCAGGGTATACTCAGCCAATCCAGGACTCTTTCCAAGAATATTTATAGAATGAAAATTACATGGACCTTCGGGTTTGTTCTTATTTTCTCTTTATTTATTTACGAGGAGATTATAATGTTCAAGCAAATTTTGACTTTCCATTGAAATTTTACTGTAGCTTATTCGAACACTTGTTATTAGACTTTCATTTTGGTATGGCGGGTTGCTAAAAAGAGACGAACACGTGGTGGGTGTCAAAGCATACATCTTTCTTTTATGTGTGTTTATACATTTGGATGTTTTGTACGGTTTATCTATTTTACAACGTTTGTACATTTGTGTTCCTTTTAGGGGGTTTTTACATTGGATTCATATATTCTACAGAGTTTGTAAATTTGTGTACATTTTAGAGAGTTCATGCATTTGATTCCTATATTCTACGAAGTTTGTACATTTGTGTGCGATTCGCACATTTGTATACATTTCCTAGCTAGGTACATTCTCTGAGGCTATAGTATTTAGTAAGTGACATATGTAGTTTCTCTTCTTACGTGGTCTTATAAACATTGGCTTGCATTGTGCGTGCGGGAGACGGCTGATCTGTGCTGCCGTAGAGAGAGGAGATCTTTAAGGGATATTCCCTCTCTAGTGCGGATGGACAACCCAGACCGACTGTTTTTGGCCAGTATTTGGACGGAAGCAAAACGCTTCTTTACAACTTCACCGAGTATAGCATTTCGTAATGCAATACGATGCCAGGCGCTCCATTTAAACCAATTATCATTTTGATGATGTTAGCATAATTTAGTGTAGTAAATTGTGTATAAATATAGCCCGGTAAGAATTGAATAAAGTCAATTGTCTAAAAGCAATTCAACAAGCGTATTAATCCGCTAAAAGCTCAAAGGCGCTCCATCCGCCTAATATCATAGATAGGGACTGCTTCACGCCGATCTCGATTGGCATTTCATAAAGAAGCAGATTGACTTGGCGTTCTGAAGCCGAGCAGTTTAGGAAATATTCTACAACTCCAAATTGGTCCCACTTGGGAAAGATTCATAGGGAATTTTCCCGTAAATAAATTGTCAGCACGCCAACGATATAATCATCAAACGTTGTGCTCCATCAAAACACAAGGAATAAGTTTTATTATTACAATTAATGGGCATATAAAACGTATTATTGGTGCCATAAAAATTTTTTATATTTGTAAAGTTTGCATAAACAAATACATCTTCGTAAGTAATATTTCAGTTAGATATATAGAATGATACAACCTTATTTTTACTAGACGTCTGTGTGCCGCCTCTGATGACTTATTATTCATCTATAGGTGCGTGTTCTATAAAGATGAAGCTGAAATTTACGATATAAGGTTTGACGTAAATATTTACTGGTATTCCACAAATGTCCAATAGGTTTTGAAATTCAAGAACATGTACCGTTTACACCCTGCATTTATTTAATGGTGGAACGCGTTCCGCGTTCACCAAGGTTTCACTTGTTATAGAAGAAATTTTTTTGAAATTATTTGAACGAAGTTTGGCTTAACAAGGTTATAATTCATTCCCGAATTTTTTAAAGACTATTTAATATATTTAACAAATAAATGAGCTTAAAATTTGTCAACTTTCATAATAGAAAACACTTTATCAGTTAATTAACTTTGTAATTATTCTACAATTTTTACTACAATTTTATGAATAAATTACTTATTACTTATTACTTTAATGAGTAAATCAATACAAATTAAACATCTTTATTTTCAATTTTAACTAATTTATTTCTAGTAGCACATTATACCGTCGATATTAATTTAACATTTAATAGAGTAAAATATATTTGACGGGATGTTTCCCACTTCAACAGAGAAAAAAACACTAAAAATTTTTTACACTTTAAATATTTGATAACTATAAATTATTATTAAATTTTCGATAACTACAATTTTATTTAATAGATTTATTTGAAAATTTTATTCAATAAGTTTGACTTTCGTTTAATTTCAATGCTTATATTGGATTCCTTATTAGATGTCTTGCTAATTGCTTTTAATTTGAATTTGCTAATACCCTCTACAAACCTGTCATAACCACACTAATACCCTCTATAAACCTATCATAAGCATACTTGCATAAATTATGATCAGTCCTCGATAAGATCTTTAAAGGGAACATCCTGTAAATTGTAACAGCTGATTGCTGGTTAAATTCGAATAACTTTTTTTTGCGTGAAAAATCAAAACAATGCAAATTAGGGTTTTTAAAAACATAAATCATTTTGCATTAGATAAATAAAAATTGTGTCAAGGAGAATAAACAATAAACCAATGATATTGATTTGTGTTTTACACCCGATACTTCACTTATGATTATACTGACAAATGTAACATTCTGTGCAGCAGGCTCGGATTTC